AAGGAGAATGAACAGTGGGGGAGAGAAGGGGGAGGGGGAGAGAACGCAAACCCCTACCACACTTACCAAACCGTCGTTGTCGGTATTATTGATGTTGTTTTTGTTGTTGCTGTTGTTGTTGTTATTGTTGTTGTAATCTGGCTTGCACGAACTCACAATTCCCACGCTTGTACCAGTGTCATGCGCAACAGTCATGGTGTTGCTGGCGCCCACGATCCCTGCTTCGTGGTTGCTGTTGGGGTTGTTGTTGTCATTGTTGTTGTTGTTGTTGTTGTTGTTGTTGTTGTTGTTGTTGTTGTCGTTGTTGTCGCACGCGCCCGAGCTCACGATCCCTATGTTTGCACCACGGACTTGCACGAATGTGTTGTTGTTGTTGGCGTGTTTGTCAATAGCGAGGACGTTATCAACACGAGCTTGGCCCTCCTCAAGCTCATCACAGCTGATGATGCGTGCGTCAGTATTATCTTCATCTTCCGTCTCTAAGTGCAGGTACCACTCCTCCTCCAGCGCTGCATACACATCTTGCCCCTCCTCGAAGATGTCATAGCAACACCGCTTCAGAGTGTCCTCCTGTTGACCATCTAAGAGACCGTCACATTGCAAAGCTAGCCCCTCCTCCAACTCCCAGATGACCTGCAACATATTCCTCATCCCTTCCTCCACCCTCCCCCCGTGCCAATCAAACATAGTTACTGTAACTGTTGTTGTCAATCAGACATCCGCGGACACCCACTCCAGCATTGATGGGGTGATATGTCAGCTTCTATCATCAAGGCTCTGTTTATCGCGAGGGGAGGGCAAATCTCCGACAAAAGAACTCAAATCTCCGACAAAACAACTTCAACCCCAGCCAAACCCTCCGTCCCTGTTATGTCATTAATTTATGCATGATCCCCCGTCTTTTTATGGGAAAAGGAAATACTAACCTACAGAGTCTGAGAGTCGTTTTTCTCTCTTGCTTACCTTTTTTTTTCGCTCTACTACCCCTTCTCACCGTCTCACCTGACTTCGTCCCACCAGATGATGTTGTTTGAGTTCAACCACTTTGCGTGCTCCTCAACTTTACCATTTTTTTCCTTTACTACCCCCTTTTTTTTTTCTTTTTTTTTTTCTTTTTTTTTTTTGGGGGGGGTGGGGGGAAGCCCTGTGACAAGTCCACTATCCTGGCGGTGGTAAGAGAACTGCCAGGATCGAGGTCTTGGCTATCGGCCTGCTTCTCCCCTTCTTACCTGGCTTCTTCCCACCACTGCAGATGATGTTGTTTGAGTTTCGAGCACTCCGCGTGCTCGGCAACAACTTCCCACCACGTCAATATAAAGGGAAAAGAAAAGCAAATAAAAAAATAAAAAAAAAATAAAAAAAACAAATAAAAGAAATGTCTGAACTCCGAATTTGTACGCGATTGATATCCAGCCTCTACAACAACCTGGGAAAAAAAAAAAAAAAAAAAAAAAAAACTAACCACTACAGTGACTACAGCAATGTTAAAGAAAAAGGGAAACATTTACTGAAATCGCAGGTCCCATT